AATGAGTACTGAATTTATGGTGATATGGATAATCACATTTTAAATGGTGTAATTATTTTAAATCACTTGAAGACAGATATAGGAAAAAAATTATTCTGAACACATGTAGAAGGTTTTTTTCACTAAAAATATTTGCATCATAAAGAAAAAAAAAAGAGAAAGAATTGCCTGACAGAATAAAAGTTAATTTTATTTAACCATGATTTTAGGAGTATGAATCATCATTGTTTTCTCCTTTTCCATACTGCAAGTAATGAATAGCCATAAATCTAGTCACAGTGAAATGCATCATTGAAATGGTCTGTGAATAATATATTCTCATTTACTTTTTTAATAAAAATTAGAGAATCGAAGAGCAAGAACATTTTTGATAGTTTGATAGTTTCCTTGAGTTATATTTTTAAAAGTATTTAAATAGTTACTGGTGAGGAAGAAATTAAGAGAACGTAGGAATGGAAAGGAGCGTTGCTTGAAAGAAGAACAGTATTTAGTCTAGATCTGAAATAACTATGCTAATAAACAGTGATTGTGGATCTCAAACACACCCATAGCTCTATGGGAATTGTATCAATTCTCCAGGTATAGAAGCTAAGGCATGGAGATGCTGAAAGAAAGGCCAGATAATAATACTATCAAGCCAGAACCTATTCTTTGTGTCCTGTAAACATGTTGTTGGTTTATAAAACACTAAGTACCTAGCCACTATCTTCTTAGAGGAACTGTTTGATCACTTAAGGTAATAGCAAATATTGCTATGTCATCTTTTAATAGAGCATAAAATCATTACTTCTTATTCTAAGTAAAGTATAAAATTAATATTTAGGTGTTTTCTTAAAAAATATTCTGTTGTAATGAGAGAATTATTTTGAACACATGTAGGTAGAATTATTAGATATTATTATTTTCTGACTCAAGCCAGTCTTGAGTCACAGCGCTGAGTCAAGAAGTTGTTTTGTAGGTGGGATAGTAACAACCCTATTTTTCATTAGGAGGAATGGTGTTAAACCTCCAAAATGAGCCTCTGGCTCTTTGGTATTCAGCATGTCTATGGGCTGCAGGTAAACAAACTGAAGTGATTACTTGAGCCTATCTTTCTATAACATAGAAATAGCCTATTTTCATAAGATGACTTATGATTCAATTCTGCTATTGGACATGACATTGAAATGCTAGAACACAAGGGGCTGTACCTTTTTCCCCCCTGACTAGTATTCTTTTAAAGTGAGCTGTGCTGGCGTGTCAAAATTATTAGAAGAATAACTGCAGCCACTGGGTTTTTTAAGTACTTTCATGTTTGCCTATTTGTTCTTGGAAGAGAAAGGAAAAATTTCAGGATACCAATAGTCATTTGATCCATGTCACAAGACTGAGCTTCAGTTGGAAAGAAGGGGAAGCTGCGCCGGGGTGGGTTGGTTAGGGGTGATTCAAGAACTGACACTATACACTTCGTTAGAGATGTATACTATGGTGCTTTTAAAAAATATTTTTAACCAAACACTAAGGAAGGTGAGAAATAGATAATCTTGTTAAGTGTGTCAAGTGGTCTGCAGAGAAGTGGCAAAAAAAAAAAATATTCTGAATTTCAGTGTCAGGACTCATTACTTTTTGACTTCTCTCAGGCTTCTTATTTTCTGGCAAACTTGTGATATGTGGCTGACTTTTGTTCATTAGGTTACAATGGCTTATTTTTGCACAAAAAATCTATGCCTACTAATGAGCAATTACTGATAAGAACTAAGAAACATGCCTGCTAATTAGAAGGCTAGCAAATCATCCCTTGAGCATTAAGTTAACCAGCTAGGAAAAAATGAAAAAAGGAAACAGACACTTTAAATGTCCCAGCCCAGAGTCTGCTCTGGACAAAAAGTGTTGAAGGAAGTTAATTGGTATCTGAAAGGTTGCCATGTTCGAGAATTCAGTTAATTGGTTACAGGGCAGGGATTAACAGAGAGTCTTACAGACCTTTAAGGTAAAAAAGAAAGCCTAATGTGTTCCATTTAACTGATTTCATGAACAGACACTTTACAGGAACTTTCTTTTGTACATTCTCAAAGATAAGAAAATGTCAGGAGAACTATTGTTTTCTTTTTAGCAGCAATTATGATCTTGGATCATTTTATGTAGCAGATGACATACCTGCTATACCAAATCATGGTTTTCATTCTTAGTGAGTGGTTTTGTGGTAAAGACAGCAATGGCTTATTCTGTACTTGTTGAACAATTTCATGATGAAATGCTGGTATAAATTGCCTAAAATTCCATTAATACATACAATGCTTCTTTAAACCATGGTGAAAAATTAGGCAAATCTACAAAAGCATGTTTCTCTTCTGTTTCCCAAGAAGGATAAAATCATTATGATGAACATTTCTTGGTTTAGATGCCTGAGTATTTGTACTTGAATAGGTGGACAGTTTTTCCACAAACTAATTTAATTTTCATTGTCACTGAAATAAACATTAGGTGCCTATTATTTCATTTCTCCAAAGCTTGGCTTTAATATTTGTATTGGAAATTTTCTATTTCTTTCTGGCTTTATTCAGATCATATTCCTCTACCTCTTTAATTTTTGAATAGGAATTGAATAAGCTGCCCAGTGAGTTCACTTTCTCAATTCAGCTATCTAGTTCTGACTGTATGTGGCTCCAGTTCAAGGGTTTTTATGGTGTTTGGAATTGCCCCAAAAAAATCCAGCTGGTGAAATGTATCAAAAAACCTCATGTGATAGTCTATTTTTAGCTTTGATATCAGCATTTTTCATTTCTTGCAGAGCTATAATTAATTTGATTATTGTTTTTAATTTATTCAGCCATCTTAAATATATACTATACACACACTGAAAATACAAGCATGAAGTTAAACTTCTCCCTGGATGACTATGACACATTAATTCTTGTTGTATTTTCACAGTGATTGATTTTTACTGTTGATTTTCTTCAGAGTATTTGCATTAACGCATACCATTTTATAATATTTGTTTTCTTAAATTATATTGCAGATGAACTAAGAAAAATAGATAAATTATTAATTATGATTTAATGATTAAAAATTGGAAGCCATTTGCTTACAGCAACTGCTCAAGCTCCAAAGTATATAAATAAACAAATGGAGCTCTCATTAATGTTACAGTGATGAGTTGACCTTGGCAGGATGCCAAAGCCACAAATCACTCCCCTTCTCAGCTGGACAGAGAAGAGAAAGTATGATGAGAGGCTTAGGGGTTGAGATAAGGCTAGGAAGAGGCCATCACCAGTTACCATCACAGGAAAAACTGACTTGATCCAAGGAAGTTGAATATATTACCAATCAAATCAGAACAGGTTAGCAAGAAAAATAAAATTAAATCTTAAAACACCTTCCAACCACCCCTCCCTTCCTCGTGGCCTCAGCTTCACAACGCTCACCAAGTGGAGTGGAAGGATGGGGAATGGGGGCTGCAGGCAGTTCATCATGTTTCCTCTGCTCACTCCTGCACTAGGGGAGTACTACTCACATTCTTCCCCTGCTCCACTTCGTGTGCCTCCCATTGGAAAAGATTCTCCACAGCCTGAGTCCTTCCCCTAGGCCACAGTTCTGCTCCAGCATGGATCCCTTCCACAAGGTGCAGTTCTTCAGCAACAGGATCCTCCAGCATGGGTTCACTGTGGGGGTCACAATTCCTGACAGCAAACCTGCTCCAGCAAAGGCTTCCAATGGAGTTACAGCTTCCCTAAAGGCATCCGCCTGCCTCCACGTGGGGCTCCTCCAGGGGCTGCAGGTGGATCTCTGCATCCCCAGGGACCTCCAGGGACTGCAGGTGGATCTCTGCATCCCCTGGGACCTCCAGGGACTGCAGGTGGATCTCTGCATCCCCAGGGACCTCCAGAGGGGCTGCAGGGCCACAGCTGCCTCACCATGGGCTGTACCACGGGCTGCAGGGGAACCTCAGCTCTGGTGCCTGGAGCATGTCCTGCCCCTCCTTTTCCTCTGACCTGTGCATCTGCAGAGCTGTTGCTCTCACATGTTTTCATTCCTCTCTCTGGCTGCAATTGCTCGAGGTTTTTTTTTCCTCATCTGAAATAAGTTATCTCAGAGATGCTACCACCACTACGGTTGGGCTGGGCAGTGTGTCCATCTTGCAGCTGGTTGGTATTGGCTCTGTCAGACATGGCAACAGCTTCTGGCATGTTCTCACAGGAGCCACCCCCATAGCCACCTCCTACCAAGCTCTTTCCAAGAAGTAAACTTTTTTGGGAATTTTCTCTCATAATGGTGAGCTGACTGCTTAAAGTTTCAGAAAATTTCAGAGCAAATTTTGTCCCCTTTAAATCATTACTTTAAGTTGAAGTTTTCTTTATTGAATTATCTGCCATTCTTCTTTGACTCAGAGCTACCATACCGTTAGATTATTAAATTAAAAATAATGTTTATTAATGTTTAAATGGAAGATTAATTAGGGCCTCACATTCAGAAGCTTCTAAGATCTATGGTGGTTGCTTTAAATGCTCAGCTCTTACTATTAGCATGAAATTACTGTGAGGAAGAAAGGAAAATGGGGGTTGGGACACCTGAGAAAATATAAGATGATTGTCCTGTTTTTAGTCAAGAGGTGTACAGTTTTAAATCTCTGATTACTACTTTTTTAAAAAAATATATTTTATTATCAGTCTTTGGATGCTCAGTCCTTCCAAAAAGTAGATATTTTGGAGGGAAGCATACATATTGTGGGAAAGTAGTCTAATGCAAAGCTTTTGTTCCCTATAAAGGTATGAATAAATATTTTAGATAGCAGTGTGCAAAGCTGAAAAAAATACTTCCTCTTTGCTTTTAAAAGCACAGATTGTTTAAATCCTTGAATTATTTTACTATATTTTGCCATTCCTTTTAACTTTCTCAATAATGGTAATAAAGTGCAAATAGTATTTATTAGAAACTAAATTATGGAATGGAAATAAAAGAGTTATCTAATTAACATTATGAGTATTTTCTTATATGGTGGATATTTTTTGCCTCCATTGTAGGTTTCAGAGGAAGCTCTGCATCACAGCACTGAGGATGAAGACTCTTGCCAGGGAATGGAGCCCTATCTCGTGCGGAGATTATCGTCCCGTAACATTCAGCTTCCCCCGCTGGCTTTCAGGCAGTTGGAACAGGCAGACGGGGATAAAAAGAATGACACTGAGACTATCCCAAGGCCCACAACTCTTCCACTGATACCTCCTCTGATTGCCATTACAGCTGCTGAGTCCAGCAGGTAAGATCCAGCAATTTTTTATTTATTCCACATTCCCTGTGGCTGGTACAGAGCTGATTCTAGGAGAGAAGTCTATTGCTTTTCTAAAGCTACTAAATGAAAAAGTTGAATAAAATGTCTGTAAATTTGTGCCTGACAATTGGTAATACTGCTTGTAAGGCTTTTGGTCATACCTGGTAAAACAAACTCTAAAAAACATTTTTTCTGAACACTATTAATATTTCATACTCTGAAAGAAGGTTCCTGGAAGCTGGATTAACCATTTATGATGATGAAGGAGAGGAGGAGGTAGAGGATGAAAGGAGCTTTTTATACACAGAATTTTTATAAATTATACAATTTCAAAACTAACTTCAAGAAATCCTGAGGGTATTTTGCCTGCTTTTGTATATCTACATCATTTGTAACATATATGGTTTGAAATTATTTGGTTATAGTGATTTCTATTGTAGTTTCTTCATATTGTATCTGTGACTTTTTATATAATACTTGTTTTCTAAAGTAAACTTTCCTGTTCTGAAATCTTCTGATAACATACTATTTTCTGTCCTTATTTTCCAAAGTATAAAGTGTTTAGTATGAAAGTTTTGCTTTCAATGGTCAAGGCAATACAGCTGTTCGGTGACATGATTATATATAAGGAAAAGGTAACATGAAAACACTGAGAGCTAAAATGCAGTACTTAAGAATTTTAGAACATATGTTCTGAGAGAATACTCTATTCTGAATAATGTAGTTACGAGAAGAATGTAGGACTACTTTTTTGTAGAATGTTTACATGAGTAAACCGTAAGTATTCATTAGGTTGCTTAGCCAAAAAGCCAGCTATTATAAACATTGACTTTAATTCCACTTCCCATATCTTATTTCCTCCTAGATACCTTTATTTTTTTTAAGAATATTTCCCATTCTGGAAATATCCTCATAGAAATACTATAGAAATACATCCATAAAAACATGTAAACATTTAGATTGTTTTCAAATGAAAATATTTTTTTGAAAGTTAAATGGAATGAAGTTTAGTGATGTTTTGAAGATAGATTGGTGTCTTGATTTTTTGTTTTGATCCATGGAGTCTAGAGAGAAGATTATCTGAGATTTGAAAGGAAAATATGTGCAAATCTTCTAGTAATACTGACTGGAAAAATAAATAAAATAAAATAAAAATAAAAAAAAAAAAAAAAAAAGAAGGTTCGATCCTGATGTGATACATCAGAAATATTAGAAAGAAGAATGAAAAATATTGTGTGATGAAAGTGGCCAAGTGATTATAAATTTCTGGAGACCTCATTATTTTCTAGGCTGGATTCGAATACACCAGAGAAAGACAGTTCGAAGGTTACCCAAATAAATCTAAAACATTGTGGTTACTATACGTAGCAATCTGCTGTACTCAGAGAATGATTGCTTCTCTGAGAGGCTTCTCTGCGGGTATGAATCTCTCCTCCACAGTAAGAGATAGCTTTGTACTCTGTCTATGTCATTTATTCCTGTGGTTGGTAGGAATGTGTTTTGAAGCTGGACAAAACAAGATTTATTCTGAGGGCAACAGGGAAACAGCAGACAGATTGTTGAATGGGAACTGTCGGGCTGTTTAAACAAATAAACTAAATATAAACACAACAGCAAAAGCAATTGCAATTTTGATCTTACTTTGTAATATAAAATCTTTAGTTTTTATGATTCTTTCTTAGCTAAAGAGCAATTACAGTGACACAGGAAGAATATTGTTCAGGAAATTAAATTTCTCTAAATGTTTAGTGCTGTTTTTCGGTTGTTAGTTCTTTCTCAAGCAGCTATGAATTTCCCATTTACATGCTCTATTATGCCAGCCAAACAACTGGAGAAAGCTATCCTTTTGTCTGTCTTCTCATCTTCATGAAAGTACATAAACTTAGGGGTCCTATTATGTCTGTGGAAATGCAGTTTACCTCCCTTGCCTTTGAAATGTGCAGTTGAGGAAAGGGAATCAAGTGTGGGTGTGAGGATTCTCTGTCTTCAGTAGGTAAATGAATGCAGAAGAGCACTTGGGTCATAGAAATTCATTCTAAAGCAAAAGAATTTCACCACTGAAAACATCCTAAATTACGGTTTTGAGAGAATATACTAAAAGATTAAAAAAATAACATCGCAAAGCCCTCATGTTTTTTGATTTAAATGACTGGAATGTGCAAAATTAAAAACAATGATAGTGAATGTAGTTTTTAAAATAAAATATGTGTTCTATTTCTGGACATGAGCATATGCATGTGTGTATACACACACTCCCATTTTCATTCTCCTTCCCTCTCCCTTTTTCTCTCCCTTTTGCTGTCACAGAATTGTTTCTAGTTGTGTGTTAGCTTTGTAGAGGAATTAAAATAAAGTTTATATTTAGAAAAAAACACTAAATAAAATGCAAATAACAGCACAGGTTGAAAGTTGGAAAGCATACTTCAGTAATATTTTTCTTAATCTTTCATACTTTGTAAGCTCTTGCCGTTCTCACTCTGAAACATCACAATGCCTTGGCATTTCTTTTACCTCTCTAATTTCCTTCCACACATACATGGAGCCAGATTCTTATTTTTTTCACCAGGTTAGACTGAGAGCCTAATAAAGATCATTGCTAAGATGAAGATTTGAAGTCTCCTATTGAAGTATCACATGCAGAAATGCTTATTGTGCTATAAGAACAAGTGCTTGAGAATTGGTAGGCTGACCCCGCAGCTGATATCATCCTTACAATTATGAAATGTGATAATTGCCAGACCTTCTTTGGGAAGGATTAGAAACAGGCAATGAATTGCTTTTATGTCAGTTCTTCTTTAATTTTAATTTTAATTTTAATTTTAATTTTAGTTTTAATTTTATTTTTTTATTTTTATTTTTTCATTTTTAGTTTTAGGTTTTATTTTTTAAATTTTTTAAATTTTATTTTTTTATTTTATAAGAAAAAAATAACCTGTATATATAGACTATTTAATGTGATATTTTACTGTATGCTGGGATAGATTAGCGATTTGGGATGTAGTGTATGCTTTATCCAGTTTTCCTCAAATAACTGTAACTAAGTTTACCAATGGCTTTGGTGTAAACAAGAGCTATAATGCATTTAATATGAGATGCACAGATAAGAAATAATTGACAGTAGAATGCTTTTGCTTTCTCCAAGGTAGCTGGTATTAAAATGGTGAGGGACTGTTATGGATGGAAAGTTACTTGAGAATATTTAAGTTTTTTATCTTACCTACTTTATAACTGTTTCAAAAATTTACATACCTCTGTATTTGACCAATAGCCACAGCTCCCACCCTGACTCAATAATCTAGCAAATATTTATATTATATAGCATGTGTGATACCATAGATTCGATTTCTTCTTTCAAACACTTGGACTTGTGATTTAGGATAATTGATCAAATCTCTCTGTTATGGCAGTATTGATTTGTCCAAAGCTCCATGAAATATGATGGCAGTCAATTCAGTCACCTTTGTTCTGGAAACAGTCTCGGCATTGTTTTACTCCAAAGAAGAGATGATTATGAGAAGGTAGGATAGGACACGGACCCTACTGAGCACTGCGAATCGCCATGGCACACATGCCTTCCCTTTCCATGCCACAGATCTGAGGTGTCAGGGACTGAAGTACTTATTTGTTTTACCTTTTAAGAATAGCTTTTTCAGTGAAAAAACACTGTCCCAGTTTTTGCTGTGATACTTGTGTCCTTGTAACACATGTAACTGAAAAAATCTGATGGAAAATGTCATGTTCATTGCATGCAAACTCCAGAAATAAGAGTATATAAAACATGAAGATTTCACTAAAAGCATTATTAGAAAACAAAAAGTTGTTTTGGAATCAAAAGGTGCTACGAAGGGCTTTCATAACAAAAATATATTAAATAATCTGGCGTTTCTTTTAGTTATCTGTGATTTGGTATGGGTACTGCCTCTTTTTACTATTTATCCTAGTCTTTGCTCAAACATCATTTGGGAGAGATTATTATAATTGTACAACATAAAATCTATTTTAAATTGCTTTTGTATTGCTTATGTACAGCTCAGAGTGTGCATATTAGTGTGTTTATGAAACTCTAGGGAGCTACAAGAACAACTTACACGACAGCTAATTTCTGAAGTATCTTTTTTGCAATGTTCTTTCTGTCTTAATTTATGTTTTTCCTTGATTTAAGTTCTGTGGATTAGATAGTCACTATAGTGCTTAAAACTTCTGTGTTTTATTTTCTACTAAAGAGGCAATCAACACTCTCTTTATTGGAAATCATAAAAAACTTGATTTAAAATTATCCCCAGGCCCTTTAAAGATGAACTTAAAATTTTTAATATCTGTTTTTAAAAAGAAATATTAGCAAATTGTTATTAGCACCATCATTGTAAGTTTGATACTATGGCAATACAGAATCAGAATCTAGTTTCAACCTATATATGTCTTAATGCCTACCACTTTCTTGCTCATTGTCTTATTTTTGTCCACAGAAAACTTCAAAGACCGGATTTTGTCCTCTGTATGCAGGGCAAGAATAACTTTTTCAAATGTTAGAAACTGAAATCTGTGAATCCTGAGTCATAATTTTGCTGTTATTTATTTACTATACCAGCAAACTATTTTATAAAAGGACAGCTAGGATGCTAAATTTTTATTATTTTAAGGAAATAGGTGTTAGAGAGATCATAAAAGCAATAAGATTTGACCTTAGCTGAGTAACACACAATAAAAACAAAATCTGAGAAAAGCTGCTCCTCCGGTTTATTTATTTGCAACTCAGTAGAATAGTGTATGCAGTGAAAATAAGTGGGAACTATGGTTTAGATACTTCTGAAAGAGAGAGAAAAAAGGGAAAGATTGTTATTTATTTTTTAACTCAGAATTATTACTTTGAGCCCTCCAAGTACTAACTTTTCTCAGAAGGCTTCTCATGAGTCTAGGCTCTCTTCAACAGCCTCTGTGTTCCCTGAGTCACCTGCTAGTAAATAATTAAAGTTACACAATAATTCTTA